CAAATGGAGGGGGGATGTCCAACCAGTCCAAAATACCCTTCGGTCAAGATAAGTGGATCGATGGGTCATAGGCCAACCTACTCATCTCAAAGCCACTTTTCCATTTGTTCTATTTCTTTTCTAATTTGTAGGTTCGTAAAAAAAAAGTATTGTGCAAGAAAGTAATATTATACCCTGTGGTAGATATATTTCTCTCTCTATTCTTTTTTTATTTGTAACAAATTTCTCTTACAGGTTAATTTGGGGAAAATTGCTAATTATGTAATGCAAGTTAACCCAATCTTTTGGATGGGCTGATTAGAGCTACATAAATTTAACTCTTAAATGGATAGATTACTCATCCAACCTATTGACGTCTGGGTGAGACCTTGATACCATTTTATGAGTCAAAATTGACACTCCTAATGATGAGTAAAGTGTGGGATAGTGATGTTGCAGAAAAAGTTGAAATTTGGACTTTATTATTAACTGACAAAGGGGACATGCAAAAATCACTGATAAGCAATTCTGAAGTATGCCGCATACATTCTTTCCTATGATACAGTGTAGATTTCCAGGCTATGCATGTTTAATCCCTCATTGACATGCTAAGTTTTTGTTAACATGATGCAGATACAAACCAAAAAAAAAAAAGAGTCATGATTAACCTGAACAAAAATTGCCACTGATTATGTCCTGTAGGTCTATCTACTGGACTGTTTAAAAGGTTCACAAGCATCTGAACTTGATAACCTTTTCTCATTGGCTTGTCTGGATATACAAACATATAAACCAACATAGATGTATATGCTTTGGATGATTTCTGTGTGCCCCTCAGAAAGGAACAGTCTTGGATGTTTTTATTCAGCGAGCTTACTAGTTACTACAAAAAGAGTTCAAAATATGAACTATCTAGCATTTCTTAGGAAACTTATGGGTTCATATGTTCACCTATGTTTTGGATAAATAGAATAGGGAATTAGGTGGATACCTTAAAAATTTGTTCTAGTTGGATGTAGTAAAACGTTTTTATGGGAAGGTTGACGACCTTTTGGGATTTTCCAAAAAGGAGATGACTTACTCTTTGGGATTGAGGAGTATTTTTATGCGATATGTTTGATCTCAATTCAAAGGATTCAATTAAGTTTAGCCAAGTTAAGTTGAGGACTGATTAAGCTCAATTCATTGTACTGTAATTCAGATAAACTAATGAGATAGACTAGTCTTTGGTATTTGTTAAATTTTGTAAGACAGCAAGGATTTTCTGGTTAAGGTCAGCTTTGAGTGAATTATGCTGTTTTTTAGCAAGTCCTTTATATTGCTTATCGTTTTGCTCTTTGAACTCTGTAGACTCAAATAAGCGGTACTTTCTTTTATTGCTTTTCTTGTCATTCAGGTCCTCACATTTATAAACTTTGTATTACTTTTGCTATTCTTTTTGGACCAATTGTTCATGATATACATAATTATGTCTAGCTTGGAGGTTAGAGATATGATGTGTGCTGTCATTTACATGACTGTGTTAAGCCAGTGCATGGGGTTAGGTCATAGTCTGGTGATTTGGTGGCAAGTTCATTAAGAAGCATCTTAAGGTACTAAAAGCAAATGAAAAAGTTAGAACAGATCAATGAAGCAAGGAAATGGTAAGGTAACCGGTGTCAGCACCTTAATAGGAATGAAATTAGCACACTTGGTTACGGTTAACCAATGTCGACCACGTTTCACCCTATGGAGCTAATATCACATGCAGAGCATTTATACGGAAAGATTCTCTCTTTTACAACATTGATGACTGAATTTTCTGAACAGGACTGTTCATGAAGAATTCACTCGTTATGCCTTCATGTGAATGTTCTTTTGGCAGGAAATATCTGGGGAGAAATATCTTCGCTTCAACAATCATTGCATAGATTGAATGAGGCTTATTAGATTAAATTTGAGCAAGCACTTCACCCTGCATGGGTTCCTAATGTGCAAAATTCACTTTTTGGCAGGTCAAGAGATGATAATGATTGTGCAGTTGCTTAGCCAACAAATTTTCGTTAATTCACGAGTCCTGATAAGCAAAAACCTAACTTGCTTCTACTGAAATATTGGGATCAGTAACGAGTCATGTCAAATGGCTACCTGATCAGATGCTCAAAGCCTTAACGTTTGTAGTTGGCTGACTTCATTTCTTAGGTCGAAGCTTTGTTGGTTTTGCTCCATTAAATCGCCATATGACTTTCCAGTTTTCTTTTTCTTTTTGTACATTGTTGTGTATCAAATGTCTGTATTGTAGGATAGAAGATTGCTTAGATGCTGCATTCTTTTTGGAAAATGATATACTTGAGTGATATGAGCTACTTTCAGTGGAACAGTTTACAGGTGCAGCCAACACTTTTACTCTGGATTTTGCTTTCTAGGATAATTATCTACTTATTTAATGTCAATTTGGAATTGTTCTGATCCCAACTTATTTGGGACTGAGGCGTAGTAATAGTAGTTGTTGTAATATCAATTTGGAATTGCTGTTGTTTGCAATGTTGATGACAAAGCAACTTAAGGAAAGTTAGGAATTAATTGCACAATGCGAAAGAAAGATGATGAATTTGTTGTGGATCCCTTCGTAAGGTAGTTGTAAAACCATAAGGGATGTTTATGGTATCTTGAATATTATTCCAAAAGTGCAAAACAGAAAGGCAAAAGCGTGTTCATAGTAATGGACCACTAGAAGAACCTTCATTATTCCACTAACATTTGTTTTCCATCAGTTTGCTAACAATTGGTCTATTTGTATGATATTTTCATTTGTTATCATGGATATACAAGAGTATATCTATTTATTTACATGTACATCCCTCCTTCCCAAAAGTAAAAAAGAAAAAAAAAAGGTTTGTTCATCCTACAGGTGGAAGCAATCTTCTATGGATGAGAACACGAGTACCCTTCCAAAGCTTAAGAGCTTCAGTTTCATCATTTGCTAAAACTGAACAGTGACTTTCATTGCAGTCTGCAAAGTATTTCCCACTTATCCCTTCTGTTTGTGGGCTCAGTGCTACATAGCATGTGGTTGCTGCACCCTGCCATACCAAGAAATTGACCTCGTTACTTATTATTATAATCACTCTTTTTTACTTTTTCTCCACTTTTGTTGGTATATGGAGAGCAATAGATGATTTTATCTTCAACTTTTTGGGAAAAAAAGTATGTGAGTCCAAATTAAGTTGCAAAGAAAGTAGTCGGAATGTTCAAAGGAGCAAAGTAGACAAGCATATATAGACGAACCTGTGATGTTGACTTTAGAAGCTTCGATGCCATAAAATAGAGAGAATCTGTTATGTTTGTAAGGGAAATCAGTAATTATAGTTATCTTTGTTTGATTTTTTGCAGCAAAATTAAATGGAAAAAGACATACCTGTGATAAAGCCCTTGTGATCTCTGATTATTCCAGTCTTTACAATTCCAGGATGGACTGCATTGATAGCCACATTTGCATTTCTTGCCTGTTCGATTCAAACATACATTTTTCACTATTGAAACTATACAAATATATAAAGACGAGCAATTAAATGGTTTAAAGAGTACAGGGACCAAAGAAGGAAAAAGATGTATCCTCTGTCTACAGTAGTATAGTGCAAATGAAGCTGGCAGATTCTAAACTGATGGACAATTCCCTAATGAGAGGTACAAGGAGTACTCTAACTTTAATTTCGGGTTTCAACTGTCTTTTCTCACAGAAAATACCCAAATAATTTCATGTACTGAGTTTTGGCATAGAATTTATCTGTTGAGCTGTCTAATCAAGATTCATGTGATATAACTGAGTGGTAAGAGAAACAGCTTAGTATAATGATTAGATTGCTTACCACAAAATTATTGGTGAATTGACTAGAGAGAAACCACTTAAGATTATGTTTTGATTGCTTCTAATTTGCGCATAATCTTTTATTTATATCATACATAGTATATGCATAGATGGTTATTAGGTTATGAAAAGAATTCATTTATTTGCAGTCGTATCAACTCTGACAAGAAAGTGCGGAAAACATGTAAGTGAAAGGGAGTAAATAAAGAATTAACCTTTAGTTGTCTTGACAATTCCTTGGCATGTAATATGTTGGCCAATTTTGACTGAGCATATGCACGAGTACCATTATAACTGTGTGACATGCATCACCAAGACGAATTAGCTTAGAGGAACAAGTTGGTATTAACTTTGAATGGATTTTCGTATAACAAGTAATGAAATATTTGCTAAATAATATAGTAGTAGTATGAATATTACTTCTTTGGATTGAGCAATTTGCAGAAGCGGAATTGATCTCTTTTCACCCAGTTGTGAACTACTGAAGTAACATTCACTATTCTTCCTTGAATCCCTGTGGCTTCTGCTGTCTCAACCATTTTCTCTAATAGCAACTCTGTCAATAGAAAATGACCTGCCAAATATCATGATTTAAGTTATGTATACTAACAGAGTTAAATATTTTCATAAGATCCGTCTAGTTTAACCTATAATAGAAGGTGGTTGGTCTTTATTAAATTTACCAATTAACATGTAAATATTTATTTTCACAATTTTAGTGTATATAACTCAAACTCTTATACATCTATCACAAGGGACTAGAGTTTAGTTATCACTAGGCCTTTTTATTTATTTATTTTTCTTTTTGTGGGACTTAGTTATCCTCTTCAACTTGAGTATTGGAGTCCCAACTCCATAAAAATAAAAAAAGATAATGGTCCTCGAGTATACAACAAGGAGTTAGTTACCTAAGTAGTTTGTGGCAAAAGTCATCTCGATTTTGTCTTCAGAGAACTCCAGTTTCTGCGAAAATTTCCCTGCATTATTTCTGCATGATAAAAATTTCAGACCAATCATCAATTACGTTCACACCCTTCACTTCCTAAAAAGAACACCTAAAAAGAAAAGAAAATACAAAAAAAAATAAAGAAGAAGAAGAAGAGTTTAACTTATATATGCTGTCAGTGTAACAAATTTTTGTATCATTAGGTGACCTTTACCTGTTTTAGCAGTTAAATTGCCTTATTTTGAGTGCCTGATAGTATAAAAATTCTGTATACCGTATATAACTTAAACTCAAAGAGAAAAAAAATACATACATGAGAATGTGAAGGGGCAGCCCTAAAGACAAGAACTGAGCACAAAATCTCTGAATGGAAGCAAATGAACTCAAGTCTATCTCTAATAATATAATCTCAGCCATTGGACTCTCTTTTTGTATGGATTCCTTCACAATTGCTGCTTTCTTTAAGTCTCTTGCTGGGATTACTATCCTTACACCCCTTTTTGCCAGTACTCTTGCTGTTTCTGCCCCTATCCCTGATGTTGCGCCTGTAATTTTTCCAGTATGATTAATTAATAAAAAAAAAAAAAGCTACTCCATATAATATCATGATGCTTTGTCTAATCTTTTTATGACATGTACTAAATTAGGTTTCTATATTGGATCTGCACTAAATAATGCATGGTGGTTAAAATACTAATTAATGAAAGGTAGTGGGAGGTTGTTATTTAAATATTTTGATACTGAACTTTTCTGTGTTAAAGATAGCATATGATTAGTACTCAGTACTGTCCAGATAGAAAATCTTGTAATATCTATTAATCAACAACCCAAGTAGAGACAAAACTATATCTTCCTTCAAACAAAAAGAAAAAAGAAAAAGAAAAAAAATTGAATATATATGTTAATCTTCAAAATTTATATTATTCTGGAAAAAGGAAAGGAAAACCCTTCTTCTCCATTCTACACCCCTTAGCTCTCACTCTTTTTTCCCCTCTTGCATCAGAGTAGCCTGTCTATATTATACCCTTTGAGTGCGGCGATTCCCCGAAATTTTGAAGATTTGTTAATCTTCAAAATTTATATTATTCTGGAAAAAGGAAAGGAAAACCCTTCTTCTCCATTCTACACCCCTTAGCTCTCCCTCTTTTTTCCCCTCTTGCATCAGAGTAGCCTGTCTATATTATACCCTTTGAGTGCGGCGATTCCCCGAAACTTACGTGAATAATACTATGTGCATCGAACTGCCTTTTTTTCTTCCAAACTTTACAGGCCAGGGTGGGGAAATTAATTGAAAGGTTTTATTCAAAATGTGTGATAGAGAAAAGTGATCAGGTACAAAATGATGAGTGAAGCCTCATGAATATTTCATACCCTACATCTGAAAAACATAGGAATAACCTTTGGAAAAATGGGTCATGGAAAGTACACAAGTGTTTGAGAAAGATGCTTCTTCTTGTTAGAAAAAGTGCCAAGAAAGTACTCCATCTTAATTCCATGTGTCTTGACAATTTGAAGATCTAAAAATCTTATACTGAAAAATCAACTCCACGAATATTCCTTAATTGGTATTAATACTTTGTTCAAGATTAATAATTCTCCACAAAATAGTTAATTAGTTAATGCATGTCGACCAAAATTCCATGATGATTTTTAAATTGCTTATGACTACATCGAACAGTTGATTATTCTCAGAACCACTCAAAAAGCTGGAAAATCCCTTTAATACCTAGTTGCTCTAACAACAATATCAACTAAAAGAAAAGAAACAAAAGTTTCAAGAAGAAGAAGGAGAAAAGAAAAGCTGAAAAATCAAAGAAAAGAATTATTCTTCTAAAGATTATTTTCTCCTCCATGATGGAACTGAAATTTTTCTAAACATGCACACATTGCCGGCTGTGACAATTGCCCTGTAAAAACTCGCTTTCCCTCAACCAAGCCACTACCTATGAATTACCGGCTCATTAATTCTGACAGCCACATGGTCAAGTACAAAAGTAAATTGTTTAGCCTTACAAACGTCCCAAAAACTCAAGAACATAGGCAAACTAGACATGGAAAAGAAAGAGAATAAGTACCAGTGATAATTGCGGTGAGCTGAGAATTGATAGATGAATGTTGAGTGACTTGGTCAGCAGTAGATTTAGAGCCAAAGCCACTTGGGCCAGCAATGCCTACCAAATATTTGAGAGCAGCCTTCATTAGAGCAAAGCTTGGAATTTTGAACTGCAAGATTGCAGCTATAGTTGAAAACCACGTATATATAAAAGCTCTATGAAACTTATCCAAGTCCATATATACATTACACACACCTACCACCCCTTATAATAAGTGAAAAGAGAATAATATTACAAATATGTTGCCTACAACCAATTACAACAGATCCCTATTGTGTAGACTATATTGTCAGAATAGTTTGGCTAGTTGAGACCAAAAATAAAAGTAAAAAAAAGTTTGGTGTTATCATTGACTACTAGCTGATGATGTTTTTTTTGAAGCTTTTTTTGCATAGCACACGCACGTAATTATGTGAATTTTTCTTTCTTATTTCTAATTATTGTTGTCTGCCCTTATTAGTTTTGCGCGTCTTCTTCCTTTTTTTTGTCCCAACTCGTATTTTACTTTTGGTGGGAGGTGAAAAGATTGATGTTTTTGGTCAGTCTTTTAATCTGCTGTTTCCAAGGATATACTTCCCAATTTAACGTGAACTCATCTGACTGAGCACGGAGTTTAAGGAAAGAGAAGACTTTTGATCTTGTGGTCTAAAATGAGGCACATATATTATGTGTGGCTATAAATCTTTGTATAAAAGTAAATTGTTTCCAAATAAGGAAAATGATCATTTTTTTTGACACGAACTAAAAAGGAAATAAGTTCACATAAATTGAAACGGAAGGAGTATATATTTTTTTCGTTTTGTTTTGGGATACTGCCACTGACTTTTATTGGCTTCATTGTATTTCTCATTCATATTGGAAGCATTTTTTGTGTCACCTATGACATTATAGAAGTGGTCCAAGTTCATGGGCTAAGGAATTGCCTTCCTATGTGTCTTTTATTCTATAGTTTTTTTTTTCTTGAGTGGTTCTGTTAATTTGATGGAAACGAAATTTTATCCATTGGTGAACCCGTCTCACAAGAGTATCTAGTGTGTTTGTATGTCTATTTCTTGTTCACATAATAATAATAATAATAATAATAATAATAATAATAATAATAATAATAATAATAATAATAATAATAATAATAATATATTGCTTGATTTCTTGTTGGTTTTCTTTTTTCTTCTCGCACGAGCTTATATATAATATGAAATAAGAATGTTTAATTATTTTACAGTTCACCTTCAAATGGTAAAAGTCATATCTGTTATGTCGACGAAGAGACAAATTCGAAAATAAAGAAGATAAAGAACACCAAATTTTAACATGGAAAATTCTTCAAATTTGACCGAGGAACAGGTTCATCTTGGCAGGTTCAGTTCTAGCCGCAACATATTTGACGATAATCGTGATATTTGTCTGAGAATTTTGACCGGTGTGCTACGAAACAAACTTCGTTGTGGGGATTTGGAGATGCGACCTATTGAAAGCTATGTGAAGAAGGTGGATCAAGTTTATTTCGTCAGAAAATTCAGGCCAAGGGGGAGAATTGTTAGGTGTTTGCCATAATTTTCTTACCATATTTGGTTTTCCTATTTGTTGAAGGAAAAGGCAACATGTTTACCTTAATTGGGTTTTCCTTATTATAGAAGGAAATTACTAATCTCTCATATTTGGCTAGTCCTTTTTATTGTAGGAAAAAGTTTGGACTTCTATAAATTGAGGATCTTTCCTTCTCATTCAGTAGCATCCACAATATAGCCATATGGGGCTTGAGAGTCGTGTTTAGGGGGAGAACTTTACGGGACAAGTGTTAATGTGTTACTTGTGTTTGCCTCTTCGTGAGGTTGTTCTCTCGTTGTTTTGTACTCTCTTTTATTATAGTAGATTGCTCATCTCCGCTTGTGGATGTAGATCAGTTGACCGAACCACGTTAAATGTTTGTGTCTCTTTTGATATATTTCTCTTTATTGTATGATTTATCGTTGTTCAAGGTTTGTTTTGCTAGCTTTCGCATGACACCTGATTTTTTCGGTCCTAACAATATCGAGGAAACATTATTAATAAAAATAAAAAATATAAAGGAGAAAAAGAAGTGCTATCCGACTTTGAGAAATATGAGTAATAATCTTTGTATATTTCTCACATGATTACAAAAGAAAGCTGCATATCTTTATCACGGAAGAGAAGAATTTGACAATGTTTATGTCTAGTATATACATATTTCAGGACGATTAGTTCAACGTGTCTGGAAATCGCAATTATTTAATCGACTAATTCAATGAGAAATATTGTCGACTGCATGTATACGTATTAAACACATTTTCTGAATCTGATATCACAAGGCACGTAAGAACATTAGGATTGAAAAAATTTGATGCCTATTTCATGATTTGTCCAGAAAATGACAGGCAAATAAAAACAGTTGATGCTGCAAGAAGATTTTGACGGTGACTTGTAGTTGAATTTTTCACGCTTTGTAATTTCTTGTTGTTAATTATTCTTGTTAACTTAAAGCAAGAAGGGAAAAAGAAATAACAGCGGCATATTTAGTTTCCTTGTTACCCTTCTACTCAAACATCTTATCATCTAAATGAATAGATATTAATTACTAGGAGTAATTAATGACCCGTCTTATCAAGTAAGTACCAATATATGCATGACATAATGCATGAAATAAACATCAATAAGCATTTAACTTAATTATATTGACCTATATATAGTGAATTTTTCACACTACTATTAGTGCGATTTAATCAACTATAGAAGGTTATTTGTTTTATTTTTGAAGTTACTAATTCTGCTTGTTATGACTTATAAGTAATTATCCTGCAATGATCTTTCAAGTGACTGTATTAAATAGTACTAATATTCTTATTTTAAACTCCGATTAGTTTTACAATCTTTTGATTTGTTCTTTCTACTTTCGTGATACATCAAACATATATACTGTATTTATATATACTTTCAGCAAATATACCATTTATTGCTATATTTGAATTTTATAAAAAAATACAGGAAACAAGAGATTAATGATCTAAACTGAAACAAGAGAGCGCCCGCTTGTTGGTTGGAGCTCTTGTATCTAAGTTGGTTGGAGTGTCCGCTTAGTTAGTGGAGGTCTTGAGTTCTCCTCCTAACAAAAACATTTTATTTTTATGTATTTCTGTATTTTGCCTTGGTTATATTCGTTGCACGAATGAATATAGTCGATACATATTGTATACTTTGTATACACCCATGTATATAGTCGATACATGACATATCATTTGTATACACCCCTATATTTCACGTTGGTTATAGTTGATACATATTGTATCCGTTGCGGGAAAAAATATAATTGCGCGAATGAATACAGTTGATACTCGTTGTATTCGTTTGCGCAACGAATACAATTTTGACACATGTTATATTCGTTACACATTTTAATACAAGTAATACAAACTAATAACAATTGAATAGTAATTACAAATAATAATTAGACATTCCATAATTACTTGGCTCTAAACTATAATATTTTATGAAAATTCCTCATTCTTAAAAGTGGTTCTGATATGTTTGTTAATAATACGAAACGAAAAAAACTCAGCATCAATTATACTTGCTTTAAAAATACTTCTACTCAAATAAGCTCTCCAACAAGACAAAAGTCTCTAAGTGGTCTCCTGAATGAAGTGGGCATGGCCTTCGATTATATTTCAAGTACATTTATAGCCCTCACACGTGGGCATCGAGATAAAACCATGATAATGTGTTGAGCCAAGATATATTATGAACAATAATTACATCTTTTATGTGGAGAAAGTTGCAAAAACAAAATTTCTTGATGGGAATTGAGAAATATATAGAAGGCAATTAAAAAAAAGAGTAAGAATTTAACTTTAGGAACAAAAGGGCAAAGCTTTTGTTGCGTGCAACCGTGCCATTCATTTAATACCTTTTGTCTTTCAAAGACTCCGTTATTTTTGTTTTAATTGCCTTTTTATTTACTGGCCTTTTGCTTTTTCACATTTTGACAAATGATGGCAAATGTTGGACGTTAGAAGGGCTAATAAAAAACATTGAGGTTGACTCCTCAACAATGGAGTTGTGGACTGGCTATGCACTTTTGTCCCATGAGTTCCCTAATTGGTAAACAAAGTCTCATTAACTTGCCTCAATTTTTGGAAGCATTAACCTTGTAGTTTCACATGTGATATATATATATATTTCTTCATTTCTTTCAAATTCATTGCAACCCCACAACACCAAAGATGGAAAAAAGCTAGAGATAGGATTTTAATTAGCAGATCAAGCATTATGTGTTTGATTAGACAGCCATTTGTAATGCTACACAAATTAAGGCTTATTAGGAACAAAAGGCAAATTACCCTAATCAGTGAAACTTAATAATTACTCTTTGGAGCTAACTAATATGATTTCTCATTTTCCGAAAAAAAGAAGTATATTTAGTTTTTCAATTTAAGGCCATCGATCAAAACAAACAACTCTAACAAATTTGCTTTCCTTTTCTGGTTTTGTTGGTTTACTTTTAACAACAATTTTTATATTTATATTTTTTTGTTGGGGGGGAGAGAAGGAGGGGTATTAGTCTAGAACCAAAGTATGGTTCTTTAGGACTCAAACGACCAAAATAGATTTTAAAAAAAATAAAATTGACTACCATTTTATATATAGCACGGTTATTCATCGCGCTATATCTTAATGGCATGTTTATCCGTTAAGGTATAACGCGGTGAATAACCGTGCTATATATAAAACGTGGCCCCACCAATAATTCATCTGCAGTTAACTGGCCCACCAATAATTCATATGTATATAGCGCATGCATTATAAACGCTAAATATATAGCGTCTATTATGCATGCACTATACATCAAATAATTGTACCCCCGGACGGGTTTTTTTTCTTATTTAAGGAGTTTCAGAATTTTGTAAAAATCCATTCAGAATCCTTTAGGTCTTCCGAAATATTTGCTCGTTAAGTTATTTTGCATTTTATTATAATTGTATGGGTCAAAATCTTGCTGAGAAAGTTGGGCGTGGAAAGATCGTAAGGTAAAAAGACTGTGTCCCGAGTTGGGCAGATAGGAGGAGGTCGACCAAAGCCCAATAACAAGCAGTCGCAGAGCGAGCCGTAGAGGTCGAGGTCGAATAGCGAAAGATGGGTGACTTGTTCTTCCTATTTACATTTATTGCCATTTCGCATATTTATTGCTCATTATTCATTTACTCCCTAAATGTGTGAATTTAATGACTGAATATACGGGTATAAGCATTTGATAAGTAGTCTCACCTAAATTCTAATCTCGGATCTAGAACTTATT